ATTTTGAAAATCCCAAAAATTGGCCAGGGTCGTATTCAGAACCAACATCTTGTTGATCGCATACTTAGGAAAACTTTTCACAGTGCACTCAAGCATTATATGAAAAGAGACGTAATTATTACTTTATTGATAATTTTTGTTTTATGTTAAATCAGAAGGAATATTAATCAAAATTATTCGACTGGATGAATTTGTCTCTTCATCAGTAGTGTCATCCTCACCAATCTGAATTACCAGTGGCTCGATTTGTGCCTCTATTATGTTATCAAGCTTCCACATCTTTGTCTCGACTTCCGATATCATATGCCGAACACACTTCTCCCATTTCTCCGCTGTGACTCTTTTTAAAGCCTCATCAAAAAGTACTTTGAGATCTGCAAATTTAAACGTGGTGTTATGCTGAGCTACAAAATTCTTTACATCCGCCCATTTTAACTCGATGGGATTGAGCTCGCAGTGGTATGGAGGCAGGCGAAGGACAATTTTGTTTTGGCCTGCTGCCATCTCATCGACTACCTATATATTTTTGGTATTCAAGCTTGTGCTCCTTAACAATTTTCAGTAACTGTACTCTTAGCATTGAGTCTTCAAAGCTAATATTCTTTGATCGCAGCCAATTTTAGATTTCAACCTTCTTTGAAGACGTTGTCGGAATCTTCTCTAACCGTCGCGGAAGATAAGGTGCATTGTCCATTACAATCACATCATTATCCCCCAGATGGGGTAGAACTTTGGAAAACCACTGTTCGAAAGATTCACCGTTCATATCTTCGTGATAATCTCCAGTTTTCTTCGACTCGAAACACCACAGCCCTTCAGCAACGAACCCATTCTCATCGAGATTGAGGCAGGTGTTAATATAAATATAAGTTTATCTGATGGATTTGTTAATCCGGTGGATAGTCCATCTAGAAAGGCCCTTCTAGATGAGGTCACAGTTTCATCGAATCATACTTACGGGGTAGTATGACTAGCAATAACCCCGGTTTCATCCATATAATAAATTGTTCTTTGTTGTTCCCTATAATATTTAATTTTCATTTCTGAAAAAGTACTCATGCACTTTCCTCCTGATTGCATTTTTATCAGCATCACCTATTGATTTTATAATGGTTTGACGATTCTGATTTGTATTCGGTTTGGAAAATGTATCATTTTGTTTATATTCCCGTAAAACATTATAAATCGAAGCTTCAATTTTATCGGAAACTTTCGATACGACTTCGTCGACAGTCGATGTTTCAATTTCTTTCATCTCTTTCTTGAACACATTTAAAATCACTTCTTTCATCTCAACATTCAAATGTCTTTTTTTGGATCGTTTCCTGGCTGGACTCAGAGGATAGCTCACAGTGTCATCAGCAGTGTCGGTACTGGACATCTTGGAAATCAATTTTAAACAATATACTATAACGCACGCCACACAATCACGCAAACGACTGATTACAACCCTGTACTGGTACCGAACTTGTACCAAGAAGGCGAATTCACCAATGAACGCTGCCCTTTCCATCTGACACTGGGCTATCACGTGAACATCACGCTTCGGTTTTGTTTTGTTTTACTCTATCTTGGATTTGGATAGACTTCAGTTTCCATCTATTTTTCAATCTATATTTCTCTGAATTTTCTATACAACTAACATGTTACAAAATATTTACTATTCTCTCTACCCAGATACACAAGTCCTTTTTTTATGAAAGTCAATGAAGCGTGTTCTGAGAACTACGGAAATGATAACAATGTTTTTTTTTACCACATCACAGATATCCAATGTAACATTTATAAATAATGGATCAAGAAACTATTTCCAGGTCTTTCGAGAATGCGAATTTGTTTTCAGCCGAATATATTCATTCACAAAGTAAATATTACACTTGAATGTTACTTCAAATTCTTCCTTCCCGATTTTCGTGTTTTTTTAGGATAGATTTGCATACTGAAACCGCATAATCGTTACGGAACATAGGAATGTGCGTGATGTCCAAGTATAATGGGCATGGCCTGAATTTTCCTGGGGTTACCTCAACTGTTTTGCTGGTGGAGAATAAATGTCATCAGAATGATTGATAGAAGCATCTCTCAAGCAGCTAGAAAGTATTTAGGGTTAGAAAATTCACCTCACAGTGTGGATGACAGTGTTCTATGTAAGTGCAATTTGGTACCATTCATTTAAAGTAGAACTCATGTGAATGATATCTGATTTTTATTCCACAACGAATGTTTGAAATACAAACTGAGTAGAGGAAAGTATCTTCTGTATAATTCAGTGTTCATGTAAAAGTATTTGTTTCGAAAGAATTTTTTTCTTCCGTGTAATTCAATGTTTATATGAAAGTAGCTGTTTCAGGAGGACTTTCTTTCAGTTTGTGTCTGAAAGTTACTTCTTTACATGATCTGCACATCCATGTATAGAGTTACTTATTTTCAAATCGATTACTTCCTTCCTTTCTCTGGAAGATTCCCTCATCTTTTTTTTATCGAGATGGAGTAGTAGAAAGCCAAAAACTTTCTTTCCCAAAAATTATTCACTCCTAAAAATATAACCCCTTCAATACCAATTTTGAATTATTGAGAACATTTGCCCGTGTTTTGTTCAAAATATACCGTGACTTATTATTATTATTTTATTATAGATAGATATTTTCAACCAAACTGCACATTTGGAAAGTCATCCCGATTGAAAGAGTCGTATTTTTCATTGTCTGAAATTTTTCGTGGAATTTTCAATAACAAGCAAATTTAAAAAATCCAAGTCCTTATCAAAAGTTGAAAGATTACCTCAATAAGAAACCTTCTCGACTGAGCTTAGGGCGAATGAGGCTACGATGTCTGAAATGTAGTGAACGCTAAAGAAATTGTATTTTTTCCTCATCTCACAGCAAGTTTTACAGCGATAAAACGCTTTTTCCGAACAGCGACAAAACTAACAGCTATACAACTTACAGACATAAAAATAACATCTGGGTGGTAATATTTTTGAATCAAACATGACTCTCAGGGACTAGTTATGCATTCTCACAATTTCACATACTGTCACGGTCGTATGTCAGCCATATTTGGAATAACGCAATCGAGAAACATGGAGAATAAAGAGCTGTTGTACTTAATATTTCAAAGGTTTTTGACCTGAAAGAACGTTTCCTGAAAGAACGTAGTAGCCGTCGATGGATATCTCTCGAATACTTTCACTATCAACGCTGGTGTTTCCCAAGGATCCATATTGTCTCCAACCCTCTTTTATTGTATATCAACGACTCATTGGAAAAAACCAAGGATTCAATATATTGCTTTGCTGACGACAGCATACTTGTCCCGTCATTCCTTTCACATTCCAGGACATTGTCTATGGAGGCACATCTTCACCGGCAGCAGGAAGTTGCATATCTTAATGAGGATCTAGAAGTGATTTCGAATTGGGGTGAAAGCAACCAGGTTTAATTCAATACCACAAAAACCCAAGCATCAGTTTTCTCCAAAAAGATAAATGTCTCCGAACCGGATATAATAATGTCAGGTCAGACAATTCCGCTTTCTGCTTCGATAAGTGCGTTGGTGAGTTAAAATGGACACCAATATGTCTTGGCACAATTATGTCGCTGGAATTGCAAAGGCTGCTTCTCAAAAGCTTGGAACACTATTCCGAACCAGAAAACTGTACACACCTCAGCAACTTTTGATGCTTTATAAAGCTCAAATCAGACCTTGTTTGGAGTATTGTTCTCATGTATAGAGCTCTGCCCCAAACATACCCTGAAGTTGCTGGATTCCATCCAGAAAAGAGCCATCCGCCTTATTGGAGACGCGAACATAACGTGCAACCTTGATAACCTGGAACATCAAACAAAATTTGGAAATTTGTCTCCCTTCTATAGATACTTTCACAGGAAGTGTTCAAGTGACTTGGCATATTTGATTCCACCAGGTTCAACTGAGGTGTACTGAGGTTCAACTCAGTACACCTCGAACTTCACTGTTTAAGAACTCTTTCATCTCAAGAACTGCGTTAATGTGGAATAAACTTCCTGAGAACGTTTTTCCAAATGGATTTAATCTCCAGCGATTCAAATCCAATGTGAATCACTACTTTCGCACAGGCACCGCTCTAAGAACGCCTTAAGGATTTTCATGTAGTGCTTGTGTTTTATTTCCAAAAAATCAAATTGAATTGATGGAATCAAATATTCGAATATGAGTGTGTGTGAATATCAAAATTTTTGATCAATGCTGCTATTGAGATCCACAGGTTTGATAATATTATAATTATGACATAGACTAGACCCTAACTCTACTCAAATGAATATGTGAATCGGAAAAAATACAATGAACAATGGATTGACTCGCTTCACTGCTTCACAGCTGGTTAACGGAAAAACAGATTTTAACAAATCAAAGTAATGCTTTCGATTCAGTTAATTTCGATTTACTCATCAGCAAGCTCAAGTTCATAGGATTCGATGACATTTCTCTTAAATGGATGACCAGCTATCTCACAGGCCCATCACAGAGTGTCAAATTGGATGATTACTCATGGTCATCCCTAAAAGAAACAATCTCAGGTGTACCGCAGGGAAGTATTTTAGCACCCTTGATGTTTTCAGTGTTTATTTTTGATTACCCCACTTTCTTATCACATTGTTAAGTACATCTATACGCAGATGATATACAGTTATATTTGTCTTCTCATAACACCGATACAGAAAGTTGCGTGGCCAATATAAACACAGATTTGCACAAAACATTCCTATACTCGGAGAATCATGGACTGGAAATCAATCCAAATAAACTCAAATCGCTATATAAATTCAAGTATCAGTCATCAGAAGAAATGAAACTCAGGTTAGTTAAAACTCTTATTTACCCCCATATCGAGTATTGTTGTTCGGTGTGATAAGAGGTCTTCCACTTTGAAGTTTATGTGGATTGGTTTGAGTGCCACGTTGGTCTGAAGAAAACGTCGAAAGTAGGATAAATAATTCATTTATTTTGCCAAATATTCAGTCCAATCAAACGAAATGAAGCTGAGCGTATTTGTGTTTTTACTGCATGTGATAAATGTAGTTTTTTCGCATGAAATTGCCACCGAAGATGAAGTCCTGATTTTGAATAAAGAAAACTTCAAGTCTGCAGTTTCTGACAATGAGTTCTTCTTAGTAGAATTTTATGCTCCATGGTGTGGACACTGCAAGGCCTTGACTCCGGAATATGCAAAGGCAGCCAAGCAGTTATCAGAACAAAGCTCGCCTATCAAGCTTGCAAAAGTTGATGCAACTGAAGAACAACACCTTGCCGAGGAGTTTGGAATTAGAGGTTACCCTACTCTGAAGTTCTTCAGAGAAGGAAGGCCTTCTGAATATTCTGGAGGAAGACAAGTCGATGACATTGTCAGTTGGCTGTTGGAGAAAACTGGCCCACCTGCCAAGGAACTTTCATCCGTTGATGAAGAAGCTAAAGAATTCATCGAAGCTAATAAGGATGCTGTGATCGGTTTCTTCAAGGATCAATCCACCGAGGAAGCCAAAGCTTTCTTGGGGGGTAATGCTGCTATAGATGACATTCCTTTTGGTATTTCTGCTGATGATGGCGTTTCCAGTGAGTATAAAGCAGCTTCCGACTCGATCGTCTTATTCAAGAAGTTTGACGAAGGCAAAGTCGTCTATGAAGGAAAACCTGTGGAAGCTGACATCAAGAAATTCGTTCAGTCGAACTCGCTTCCTCTTCTTGTCGAATTCAATCACGATACTACACAGAAAATCTTTGGCGGTGAAATAAAAAGCCATTTGCTTCTCTACCTTAGCAAAGCCGACGAATCCTTCGAGAAGCCGCTAGGTCAGTAGCCAAACCATTCGAAGAACAAGTATTGTTCGTCACTATCGACGCTGACGAAGAAGACCATCAAAGAATCCTCGAGTTCTTTGGAATGCAGAAGAAGGAAGTGCCAGCTGCCAGACTCATCAAGTTAGAGGAAGACATAGCCAAATACAAACCTGACAGTGATGATCTGAGTGCGTAAACCATTCAGAAATTCGTTCAGGACTTTTTGGACGGAAAACTGAAGCAGCACCTACTCAGTCAGGATCTTCCCGAAGACTGGGATGAGGAACCCGTTAAGGTTCTGGTTGCCAGCAACTTTGAAGAAGTGGCACTCGACACTGAAAAAGACGTTTTGTTAGAGTTCTACGCTCCCTGGTGCGGACATTGCAAACAGTTGGCTCCAATTTACGACAAAGTTGAAGAATATTTCAAAGACAAGACTAACATCATTGTAGCCAAGATGGATGCTTTCGTCAATGAACTCGAGTTCACTAAAGTCACGAGCATCCCCACGCTAAAAATGTACAAAAAGGAAGATAATCAAGTTGTTGAATATAATGGTCCCAGGACCTTTGGAGGGCTTACCAAATTTTTGGAATCTGGAGGAGAAGACGGCGCTGGTCCCGATCTAGAAGAGGAAGTCGCAGAGGACGATGATTCCGCAAAGAAAGACGAGTTGTAGAGATGAAGAGTAATTTCTTAGAAGTTGAAATTTAAGATTGGCGTTATATCTTTGGAGTAAGGCATCTGCAAGATGATTTTTTCAGAAAGAGGTTTTATTTCAAATGAGAGGACTCCAATCTAATCCGAAAAATTGTCTTTCTTCATTGAAAGCTGGGCAATCAGAGATGAAATGTTCAACAATCATCGTCACACTGCAGGTATCACAAATGCGAGGCTCCTCATGCTTTAGGAGATGTAGATGGGTACATTTCGTATGTCCAATTCTCAGGCGTGTAAGTAAAACTTGCTGTCTTCGTGTGAGAGCTCGGTAATTTTGAGTGACTAGATTCGGATTAATGGCTCTGAGTTTGTTATTATATAGGGATTCCCACCTTTGCATCCATCTGTCGCATATGACCTCTTTGATTTGGAGATAAACGTCTTGATAGGGCACTCGTTGGATCTCTCGACAGTTGGGGTTTGAAATGGCCTCTCGAACTTCTGAATCTGCCCTTTCATTACCTGTTATTCCCATATGAGAAGGAATCCAAACTATCTCAATGTGTTTACCATCCTGTAATAACTTTCCCAGTTCAGTCTCAATGAGAAGAAGAAGAGCATTTTTCGGGAAGAGTTGTTGGATGCCCAAGATAGCACTGAGAGAATCAGTGAAAATGACAGGATCACCAACGGATCTACGACAGTATTGTAGTGCGCTGAGTATAGCAAATACTTCTCCTGAGTAGATACCGGAGAAAGATGGCAGTCGATGAGTGTAAGTGGTGGTATCTGTTATCACAGCGGCTCCTACTCCTTCAACTGTTTTGGAAGAATCGGTATATATATGCTTGAAGTGCTGATATTTGGAGACCAGTTCGGCGAAGGATTTCTTTATGAAATTTGAAGGGGTATCGTGTTTGGGAAAGTTGAGGAGATAGGTATTACAGGGAGTAATTGGTAATGTCCAGGGAGGGAGAATTTTCAAGTCAGGAGGAAGAATATTTTGAAAGTCTATAAGGTTATAAGAAACTTTGGCAATTTTCACATAAAAAGGTAAGGGTTAATTTTGTTTCTGTTCAAAGATATGTTGGAAACGATCTGAGAATGTATATCGATAGGAAGGATGGTTTTTGGAAGCGGCTACTCTTGCAGCATAACTTAAGGAAAGATAGTTTCTGCGAACATCAAGGGGTTGTTCTCCGGCCTCAGCCAGTAGGCTCTCCACTGGGCTGGTATAAAAAGCTCACAGGGCAATCACTCTGCTGTTTCATCATTTTCCAAACAGAGGCGACATACACTGTCTTCCGACAGTCCAAGTCTTTGCATACGATGATTTAAATTACAGTGATCTGTAAGAAGGCCTGTTAGACATAGTAGTTCATCCCTACTGTAGTCCAACAACTATTTGGTATCAAGCTTCGTAGGGTGAATAAACGCCTTGAAGTGAACCAATCCTGTAAGATTCTGCCAGGCCCATAAATCTTCTTGCCATTCGGGTGTTCAATTTCTGTTTGGCAAAGACTAAAGCCTAAAGGTTTTTGTCCGATGAAGCTGCTTGCAGCACCCTCCTTTGCAAAAGAGTCAGCAGCTTCATTGCCCTGTAGGCCAGTATGGCCAGGAATCCAGACCAGATATAATCTGATAAGTCATCCTATCAAGGAGAGTCGTTTTTGGCAATTCGCTACCAGTTTAGACAGAACATGTGCAGAAAGAGCAAATTTGTAGTTTATTATGATGTATTTTTAACTTGTTTATAAAACAATTCTCCGAGATTTGTTATTGACTACACTAACCGAAGGTATTCGAAAGTGAAACGTTTATTGAAGCGACTATTTACAGTTCAACAATAACAAGACTTCAAAGAGTCGCTTCCGTAAACGTTCATAAACGTAGTCAGTAAACAAGAATGTCAAATCTTTTATTTTACGGAACAGAACAATATCTCAAGATATTTTTGGGTTAAGGTTTACTTGAAATAAAGTGACAATTTATTACATCCCCAGTCAGTAAAATCTCTGCCGAGGACCCTTTTGTTTTTAAGCGATAATTTATTTCTTTTCTGTTCGTACGTTCCATTTTGTTATTCTGCTCTTCGATATCGATCAGTATTCAACACTGTATCTGATGTAGTGAATATGGTCGCAGCTCAGCTTATATTACATAACGATGCTTCCTTCCAAGGAATTATTAAATGGAATTTCTTTCTAAACGAGAAAAGTTTCGAAATAAATCAGTGCACTCAAAGGCTTATACTCTTATGCAACTTTTGATGAAATATTAATCAGTTATTGGTTTTATCTATAATATTTAGCTTCTTCGTACGTTTCTAACAAGATATACTGTTTTTGTAGTGCCAATTTTTTTCCTCGTGGACCAAGTAATTCATCTGAGAAAAATATGTTTTCAGCAGAATGTGGTCAATGAGAATTCATTTGTTTTTCTGAGGAGCAGGCGATTAGATCTGCTGAGATAATGGAATCAGAAATAGATATTCAAAATTTATTTGAAAAAACAATGTCATCCCCGGTACATCATATCATCACTAGTTGGTAGAGTCGGATTGATTCATTGATTTGATTACGATTTCCCATATATGAATTTCCCACAAAAATTTGAATTTATTATGGGTTTCAATTGATAAATTAACATTTTTGAATAGATTTATTTATTATTATCAGTATTTTCATTATCGGATACATCAGTAATTACTGTGGTTGATTGTAAGACCAAGACAATAGTATTATGGTATGAAAAATAAGATACATATGTTTTCGAATGAAAATTGGAAAGATATCTAGAGAAAACTGAATTAATTGTTGTTCCATGTCTTGTGGAAGGGTCATTTCGGTTACCATTCATTCGTAATTCTAATTTATCTTGTAGGAGGTTTCCAAAGAGTTGTCCATCATTTCCGGACGCGATATTAACATTGAAATCTCTTGCTAAAATTAGTGGCATAGTACGATAGTTTCCTCCTAATTGTTCAGAGCCTACTAGACCGAAATGTCTGCTTGCTCCTACAGTAATATACGAAACGTTACTGTCCCTTTTTCTAACTCATACCTCCCTCTCAAGTTCCGTTCGCCTCGCCCATTCACACTTTTCGTAACACTGTCATCACGCATTCACGTTTCACTTCAAAAATATGAACTATACCTTGTATGAATCAATGATTCGACCGCATTTCCAAAATCATTTTGTCGACATTTTAGTTTATGCCACATTGCGTATGAAACGCAAATAGTGAAGTGCATCATTTCGTGGGTGTGTCGACAATTAATCAAGTTGCCTCATAGTCCATTGATTTCAGACATAAAATATAGAGAGTATAATTGTATTGCTCGTCTGGCTGTTCCTGTTGATGACAACAAAAATAATCTAGGCCAGACGTATTGGAGCCATGAACCGACGTTATTTTATTGCCCGTTCGTCGAAAGCGGCTTTTGTTAATAATCAAATCGGATTAAATAATGCTAACAAATTCCATGCAACCCATAATTTTTTGTGTAGGACATCACTTTCGAAAGGATATGCAATGAGTATGAGTATAATATTTGTGAAAAATACTTTGATTTTTACGCAGTAACTTATCGGGGTAAACTAAAAAGTTTGCCCTTCTACACTTGTATAAAGTTCTCCATTATAATTTTTATATTTTTTCAGATTGTGGAAGGTAACCATTACCCAAAAAAAGGTCGATAAAAGATACATATGTTCTGGTATCAGTAAATTAGGGTGGAAGAGTGTAGACTCACAGCAATTAGGTCACATGTGACCCATTGTACATCCTCCGGAGGAGTTGTGCTCCTAGGTCATCGTCCATCCTGTCCTTTCCAGGAAGGTGGACAGGTGTCACTAGGACACATCTCCTTTATATTGGCAGGTGTAGGCCAAGACTCGCCGAACACACACTCTCTTTGGCAACCTTGAGGTGTCTTACGGCAGCTTCCTCGAAGGTTTTGAAAGGTGTTGCGATATTAATGTCGTGGCGCGACTTCTTCAACCTTCTTGGGGTTCCCTTCGTGGAGGGAGCTTTCCTGCAGGGGCAGCTGGTTTCTTGCCTTTATTCGAGGCAGAGCTCTTGGCGCCCGCCGCAGGAAGTGCCCTTGCTGTTGGAGGTGATCTGCTATGTTCAGCCTTATTCCAAGCGGCCACAGCCAACGCCTTTTGCATTCATGTGTGTTCCCATGAATAGCAAGGGAAGAGTTGGTCACCTCTGACAGAACTCTGCATTACCAGAGGTAGGCCGATTACAATGAGGTTTCGCCCAGTTCCCAAAAGGAATCCTTCGTGACCGCATATCACCCTGCGGCCATTCAGCTTTCAGCACGATTCCTTACACCGTAGCTTGGGTGGGCTAGTCCAGGGTGGCATGTTTTGCAAGATACATATGTTATCGAAGGAAAATTAGAAAGATATCTAGAGAAAACTGCATCGATTGTTGTTCCATGTCTTGTGCGATAGTTTTCTCCCAATTCTTCAGAGCCTACTAAACCGTAAATGTGTGCTCGCACCTATTTCTCTCACCTCTACAATAATATATGAAACGTAACTCTCTCTCTTTCAATCTTCACTAACTTATACCTACCTCTCGACTTCCGTTCGCCTCACCCGATCACACTTTTCGTAACGCTCTTGTCACGCATTCACCAGCTTATTCCCCAAGTCAAGTGCGCGTAAAGAAGTTTAACTTTAACAATGAGCAATTTACTGTGTACTTTCAAAGTAAAGGTTTGTTGACAAACACATCATTAGATTCAAAGATCGTTTGCACTCGAAGAAGAAGACGCTCTGCAAAGTAAACGGGAAATACATTGAAGAAAATTTCCTCAACTTTTCGAAGCCCAAGACCCAACCGAAAACATAGATTGAATTATTCAGAGTATCGTTCTGTCACTGGGCAGACCCTTCACGACAATTATCTAGGCAGTGACGAGTAATTTTTCGCTGAACTTCATGTATTCCAGATGGATTTCAACACCAGACAGCGCTGATTCCTACAAAAACAAGCCTGAAAGTGATTGCGATGCAGTGAAAGCTGCAGTGAGAGACAGAGAACAAAGCTCTTTGGAATGTCGACGCACGCTTTGCTACTGACTTGGGGAGGCTCGTGTATCTTTGACATTCAAAGATTGAGTTCTCAGTTG